CCCCGGCCACCCCTGGCTTTGGGTTCTGGTTCATGACCCTTCTCCGTGTTGCAGATTTATTACAAGCACTTTGGGAAAGGATGCTGCAGGGCTAATAAACATCTCCGTAACAAAACCCTCGCAGGCCCCTTAGTCAAGCCCAGTAATGCCGAGCGGAGGACGTTAATCCCACATCCGGAGCGTTTTATTAAATAAAAGGTACCCGGAGATCCTCACGCCACCCTGTGAGACTCCTCTTCTCCTGCCAGGTCTTGCGCAGCACCGAGCCCTTGGTCTCGATATCAGCTCTAAATTGCTGCCGTCTGGAGCGATCTCTTAGCCAAAATAGGAGGAAATGAGAGATTTTTGCGTCTCTGCTGATTTTTATCTCCGCTGCTTGGCAAAGCCGGCCGAGTGTTTTTGCTTTCCTCCATCCCAGCTGCGTCGGTCCCCCCCTCCCTGGGGAATCTCACCCGACCCGGGACAGCTCAGTGGTCACAGTGGTGTCTCCCATGTCCCCATGTCCCCGTGTCCCCATGCAGGAGGGGTGCGCTGGCTGCTCCTTCCTCCCGGTGACGCAGTGGGTGGCCCCAGCTGGGGACAGGGATGCAGGTGCTGGGTTTTGAGCTGATTTTTTTGAGCCGCAGTGTTGTTAGCCACGGAGAGGTCTGTGTTGCTTCTGCACCCCAAGGTCCATCTCGTAGCTGCTATGTGGACCCCGGGCTGTGAGGCTGGAAAAAGCAGGGAGCTGAGGAGAAGTTGGGGTCTGATGTTAGAGCCTGTTCTGACTTTACTCCTGGCTCTCGGGCACTGCCAAGGCAGCAGCATTCAGCATTAGTGAGCTAAACCTCAATGTTATGGCTGCTTTCTTCCTCTGGGGTCCCTGCCAGCTCCTTGTCTCTCTCCTCTTGCCCTGCCAGGACCCTTTCTCCTTTCTCTCCGCTCTTTCTGCTTTTCTCATTCTCCCCCTTGCTTTCCTCTGTGCTGCAGAGGGGATGAAACGCTGCTGGGTCCAGAGACCCAGGGGATGGATCCCACCCCCCCCCCTCCTGCAGCACCCTGGGCCAGTCCCTCCCAGTAAGGAGAGGCCAAGCATTGGGGCTCACTGGATATCAGTGCCTTTAAACCCCGTAGTGCTCAGCCCAATGATGAAAAGGCAGGGTCCTTTCTCCAGTGCAAGAGCAGACGAGGATGCTGCAGGGAAAGGAAGGATTCAAGGGGGTGCATCCCATCCCGGGCAGGGGCTGTTGGTACCCAGGGATCGCTGCATCCCGGCACGGTGCAGCGCAGGAGGACGCTGTGCCTTGGTGGAAAGGTCTGGGGAGCCTTAGGAAAACAGCATGCGGCCGTGCTGGCCTGGAGGGCAGCCAGGGCAGCGGATGCTGGAGCTCAGATCTCCGCTGGGACGAGCCGGGGGATCTCCGCGGATCGCGGGCGGGCGGGATCTGGCTTGGTGGCGTCTGTGCGGTGGGGCAGGGTCAGCCTCGGAGGTCTCGGTGTCTGCACAGCACCCGGAACGCGTTGGGGAAGCTGCCAGGGGTAAAGAGGAGCAGCAAAAAGAGAGGGGAAGAGAAAAGCCACTGTTTGGAGAGGCTGAGAGTGCTTAGCTGTGCCTTGGAGGGTCCCAGGACAGGGCTGGATGGGGTGGGGGGCTCACAGCAGCATCCTTGGGGCAGGCAGGGGGATGGAGTGGGGTTCCCTGCAGGTTGGGGGTTCCCAGCCCTGGCACAGAGGCCGGGGAAGGGAGAGCTGTGCTGTGTAGTTGGAGCAGGAGGCTGTAATTACAGAGGGCTCGACTGCCACTGCAATTACAGCTGATGGCCCTGTCCTGGAGCAGGGCCAGGAGGGATCTTCGGGGCAGGTGATGAGGAGCAGCCTGGGACACCCACAGAGCTTTTAACCCTTCCTGACCATACCCAGAGCATCTCAGCATCCTCCATACGGATCTGCCCTAGCCCTTCTGCCCCAGCCTGTGGGTCCCTGGTCCCCCATCTCTCTGATCCCCCATGTGTCCGGTCCCTCATCCCGATGCCACCATCCCACCCTTGCCATCCTTCTGTCACCATGGACCAGTGTGGGCAAGCGTTTGGAGCTTTGCTTTGCTGCCTCCTCTCTTCTAGAAGGCATGAACTGCATGAACAAGAACCACGGCTGCGCCCACATCTGCCGAGAGACCCCCAAGGGGGGCATCGCCTGCGAGTGCCGCCCCGGCTTCGAGCTCACCAAGAACCAGCGCGACTGCAAACGTAAGGAGGACACCAGGGGTGGGGACACAGCCTCCTGGGGACCCCTGACCTTGTCCCCATGCTACAGACACCTCCTGGCCCTGCTGCAAAGCCCTGACCCCACAGTAACGTTTAATTCATCGAGCCTGAAGCCCTCTGGGTTCATTTTCCTCCAGCACACCCAGCTCTGTTGCCCTTACAGACGATGCTCGTGGCATCTCCCTCTGCCATGAGATGTTGTGCCCTTGCCCTGAGTGGTTAAAGGGGGTCTCAGTGGTGCAGATCCCCCTTTGCCAAGGGAGCTGAGCAGGGAGCGTGCAATCGGCCGGGGAGCAGCGCAGGAATCCTCTGCCCCGGGGGTCTCGGTGCTCGTCTGATCTCCTGCCAGCACCTCGCTGGCACTGCCAGGGTTATTAAATAGATTTGTATGTGTTTATGCAATCATTTGCATTTTGTTTCTTGTGTGCTGTTCGCAGCAAGCGTGGCAAATCGCTGACGAAATGGCAGTTTTAATCCCACCAGCCCATTTGCCCCCCGGGAAGGGCTGGCAGGGATTCCCAAAGCACCTGAGTCATCCCAGAGCCGGGAAAAACCCCAGATCCAGGGTCAGGGGCAACCAGGGGAGGGTCCCCTTTGCTTAGTGACATTTAGCAGATAGGAAAACGCACATTTAACACAGGGAAAATGCGAGAAACCACACGACTTTGCCAAGATCCCGCAGGGAAAGGCGTTAGGAATTACCCAGGGGAGAGGGATCTCTCTGAGGATATGGACGAGGTTTTTCCTTTGTGCTCCGGGGCAGGAGGAGAGGAGCTGGGGACTGGGGGTGACATGGATGCTTTTGCCTCCCGCAGTGACCTGCAACTACGGGAACGGGGGGTGCCAGCACACGTGCGACGACACCGACCAGGGCCCCAAGTGCGGCTGCCACGTCAAGTTCCTGCTGCACTCGGGTGACGTGCAGCGGTAGGTGCGGGCCATCGCGGGGACGGGGGACGGGGTGCGGGGCAGCTCCTCTTCCTCCCCAGATTTCCTGTTGGCCCGATGGAAGGGCTTGGTTTTGCTCTTTGTGCTTTGGGGATGCGGCGTTTCCTTTGGCTGAGGTCGGGGAGGCTCGGTGCGTGTGTGAGGGTGCTGTGGGGTGCGGGGGTGCGTCGCTGCTTGGCCATGAGGATGCTAAAGGGGACATTTAGGGATGGGTCGGTTGTGCCAGGTGCATGTAGGGGTGTCTCCTTGCCTCTGTCACTGGAGGGAGAGGGGTGAGGATGTCCCCATGCTGGAAATTGTCACCAAGGAGGGACACAGAGGGGACAGATTTGGCTGTGGTGACCCGTTCCGACTCGGGGCCTCAGCTCAGGAACAATTGTCTTACAGGGGAGGAAAAAAAACCCAAAAACCCCAAAACCCCAACAACCCGACAACCCCAAATTGTCCTTTTCCTGTGTGTGTTTTCAAATTGTAAAACATCAAACAGAGATAGAAGTTTTACTGGTTTCAGATGCTCGCGCTGTTTAACAGCTGATTTGATTTAAAGAAATGTTACATTCGGGGAGTGATTAAGTCCACAAATTGCTCTAGACGTTTGAGTTCTTATTGCAAAATATAAAAAGAAAAAGGAATTGAAAGCAAGAGGGAGGTTTTTGGCTGCCCGTGTCCCCGCTGTGCCTGAACAGAAAACCCTCTGTGCTTTCCAAAGGCGGCTCCGGCCTCGGGGTGAGCGGCGCAGGAGCCCCCCGGACCCCCGAGGACCCTCCTGGGGGGTTATTGCTGTGCCTGGGCTGGGGAGGGCTCCTCTGATGGGGACTTTGGGGTGCGTTGTCGGGTGTGTTCCTCCTGGCCGGGGGTTCCCATGCATTGGCTGTGTTGGTGTGAGGATTTGGGGGTGTTTGATACCAAAATGATGCTCCTGACCTGCTGGATGCATCTCGTGGTTTGGGGGATGCTCGAGAGTGGTCCAGTTGGCCAAAGGTCTCAGCACTCAGACCCTGGGTACCGCAGGTGTGAAGGTTGGATTTGGGGGTGCTTCCAAAATCGCTCGTCCTTGTGGCCTTGGCCAAAATCTCCCCCTCCATGCCCACTCTGTATCTGCTGGGGATGCAGCTCCCGCTGGAGCCGGTTCGCCTATCGCTCCCCTCACGCACCATCCAGGGGGTGATCAAACACCACGATGGTGGATTTTGGGATCAGCACCACCCCAAACCCCACCGCCGTGCCCTTTCGCATCCCTCATGGGTTCAGAAACCCCCTCTCCCCAGGAAGGGGCTCGGCTGCTCCCACCTCCCCCAAAGCCTTCCCAAACCCCCAGCCCCACGACGGGAACACTGCGGGATTGTGCTGCACCCCATGGGGATGCCCGGGTGGCAGATTTACAACCCAGGTACCTGCTCGGATATTTATAACCACCCTTTCTTGTTTTACGGCCGGGGGCTCGGCAAACAGCCCTCCCTCCCCGCCCCGGTGCTCCCTCCGCCGCCCCTTCCCCATTTCCTCTGAAATATTTCATCATTTCAAGGGGAATAAAGTTTCCAGCGAGGGGAAACGCAAACTCGCTCCCCGGGCCATGGGCTTTGAAATTGTACGCGGTGCGTTTGATGGGCTGCCGGGACAGGCCCCGGGTCCAGGTTCCCTTCAGATCACACCACGCGGCAGGAAGCACGAGCAGCCCCTTTGAGTGACAGTTTCATGAGGCCACGGCCGGTGTTTTTCATTTTTCCGCTTTTTATTGCTGCTTTTAAAAAGGCAGATAATGAAGAACATGCCTCTGAGCGAAGCGGGGCCAGCCCTAATGGCTCCCAATGTCTGCAGGCTCCCGAGCGGAGGGGGGGCCCAGAGGGGGGGT